TGTAGAGGATGGGAACGGAAAAATAAGAGGGAAAGTTTATAAAGGGCTTCGTAGCCAAAACGGATCCAAGATAAAGTGAAGCGTGACCTTGTCAGACAAAGTTTCAAAAGATAGAGAAAGAGAGAGAGAGAGAGAGAGAGAGAGAGAGAGAGAGAGAGAGGGAGGGAGAGAGAGGGAGAGAGAGAGGGAGCTATCTCCAAATTGGGCCCTCAGCTGTGCGCGAAGCTCGAAGTACAACTCGTAAACGAATCAACGCCTGGATTCGAGAAGTGATAGCGAGAGTCAGAGGAGGAGAGCGGAAGAGAGAGAGAGCGAGAGAGAGAGAGAGAGCGAGGGAGAGAGAGAGCGAGCGAGAGGGAGAGAGAGGGAGAGAGGGCGAGGAAGAAGCAGAGAAAAAGTACTAGTACTCACGTTTAAGCGCTAATTTCTGGAATTCAAAGATTGGTGTTGGGAAAACGTGAGGGCATCGGAGAATCATTGATTTCTGGGATAAGAAAGCGAGAGAGCGAGAGCGATAGAGAGAGAGGCAGCGAGAGAGATAGAGAAATACACATTTCAATCAAAAGCATCAGATTGTTGGAACGGATTTGTTGTAGGGGATCTCCGGGGATTGCGCAGATTGAGGCCCATTCTCCACCCTCTGGCGCACATCCATTCCCCTTCTTCTCCTCATTATGCCGAATTTTCGCGTGGATTAGCGGCACCGGCGGAGAGGCTGCGTGGCCGCCTCGGAATCTCCAGTTCCTAGGTAACAATTATCTGGCGCAGTTCTCAATGTGGCGAGCCCGAGCTAGGGTACCCGAAAAATGCCTGAACACACGCGGAATTGGGACTCGGAAAACAACCCGGATTAGGGAGGTGGTTAGCCAGGGGCGAAAGCTAGGGCTATTATTGCTTGGCAATGCTGAATTTAGCGGCTAGGGGATACCTAATTTGCATATTTTGGGACCATAGGGTCCCAAAATCCGCTTTGAAGGGAAACCGTCTTATTTTCTTTTGCTAGGACAGTGATAGGCTAAGGCTCAAGCTTAGGCTTAGGCTTAGGCTTAGGCTTAGGCTTAGGCTTAGGCTTAGGCTTAGGTCGGCTTAGGCTTAGGCTTAGGCTTAGGCTTAGGCTTAGGCTTAGGCTTAGGCTTAGGCTTAGGCTTAGGCTTAGGCTTAGGCTTAGGCTTAGGCTTAGGCTTGGGCTTAGGCTTAGGCTTGGAGGCTAGGCTTAGGCTTAGGCTTAGGCTTAGGCTTAGGCTTAGGCTTAGGCTTAGGCTTAGGCTTAGGCTTAGGCTTAGGCTTAAGCTTAGGCTTAGGCTTAGCCTTAGCCTTAGGCTTAGGCTTAGCCTTAGGCTTAGGCTTAGGCTTAGGCTTAGGCTTAGGCTTAGGCTTAGGCTTAGGCTTATCCTCAATTTTTTTTTGCTATCGCCCAGCCTAGGGGGCCAGATGTATCGCGGGTCGGTGTCCAGCCTTGGGCTAGGCTTGGGGTCGAATTTCACTGGCTTTCACTTTTCCAAAAAAAAAGGTCGCGCATAGTTCTCAAGTCGCTATGTAGCCGTAACTTTTTAACATCCCCGTTCAGACATTTTCCAAGAATTCCCAGCCCTTGTGACTCACGAAAAAATATTCGGCTTTCTACCTCGAAAACACACACCTGTTCGTGGAGGTCGCACTGGGTCTCACGCGTCTAAATTAAAAATTGACTTGATGTGGTTTGGGCAGAGGGTGGCCCGATTGGATTTGGCCGCGAGGCTATAATCACCTGGAGATGTTTTTCCAGGGTCTGGCCCCGCGTAATCAACTTACCAGCAACAGCTTTGTGGATTTGATTTTGAGCTTTGGTGCGGTTGGGTCCTGGAATCAATGATTTTAGGGTTGTGGGGAAAGCAGTGAACATTAGCGTAGACAGAGGAGCAGGAGGCGAGACTTCGTTTTTAAAATTTTTACAGCGAGATCGACCTAGTTATTTAAATATCCATGTATTTAAACTAAAATTAAAGAGCAGAGTTTATTCGGGAAATGATGAGCCCGGGTCAGTGGAGCTTTTGTTAAAGGTGATATGACAGTAGGCTAATTTTTCTAGAGCTTTGCAGATATTTTCTAGAACCTTTAGGATACTGGAACTGGGACAAGGACAAGAACCTTTTCGACCATTCCAGTTTTTTTTCAGAAGCTTTAGAAACCTACCAAAAACATCCTCACTTGGTAATCGACGACGTGGTCCTGAAACAGATAAGAATTGATGATTTTTTTGCTTGAAATTCAATGCATAGCAAAAACAAATCCTTACCAATTTTCCCTGTGTTGCATCCAAGGCGATGAGTCCACGGAAAACCGGCTAAAAACAGCAAATAGCGTTTTCAGCAACATACCTTTGCCGGAATCCCAGCTGACAAGGTGATATTCAGATTTTCCAGTTCTTGAATAGGAGGCTTATATTCCTAAATAATGAAAAGTCAATAAAATTGACTAACAAACCGGAAAGGGAAAGTAGATACATTGCGCTTTCGTGACGGTCCGCCGTGTTGTCTCCGGATTGTGAAAAGCTACAGTCGCCATTTGGATATTTTCGGCGTTTCCGAAGTGAGTACGACTGCGGAGGTTGGCACGAAAAAATAATATACATTGTTTTTCACACGTCTTTTGCAGCAGTTGAAATTTGAGTACACTACCTTCCCAATGTCATTTCTTCTCCCAGAGTGTCATTTGGAATTCCGCGTAGGCGGTGCATGGGTGGTTGCAGGCGAAACTTTGATGCTATTGCAAATGCGTACTTCGTTCGTTCTTGGGCTCTAACGTCAAGTGAAAGATTGAGAAAGCCCGAAGAACCGGAAGTACAGATGATAAGGAAAATTAAAGATGGCAATGGCACTATTATACTACTCGGCACTTCCGTGCTCTTAACCAGACTTTACAACCAAAATCTCCAGTTTTTCGTTGCTGGAAGGCAAACGAGCAGAAATACTTAGATTTGGTATGACGGATTCTACCGTAGTCCACTGATTTTTACCGGGAAATTTTGAGTCTTAGAATGACATTTTCGCGGGAAAGCGACGAATTTTTTTCTGGCTTTTGAACCTATTTGAAATTTTAATAGGTTTTTTAAATTTCAAGCATTTTTTGATCTTTTCAGACAACGTTCTCGATGTGTATCGCCATCTGCTAAACGTTGCCCTAGGCACCGTCTCGGCCCACCTAGCTGTTTGTCCGCGCTCTCGCCATCTGCGCCCCAATTTCATGGCCTGTTGGCCCGTTGCGGGGTGGAGAATAAGTCTAAACACTAATAAGATAAGGTTTACATAGGTAGCTATTCAAAAATAATGATTTCAAACTATATAAATGTCACTTCAAGCATTATCTTTATAACCCAACGTTCAGAATTTCTTCAAAAACCCCTTAATCCCGAAGTTTCAAGGTAATGGCCGCGGCTAAAATCGACAAATTGATCAAATCGGTTGCCGGACTGGAGACGGCGATCCGGCAAAAGGAGCAACAGAATGACAAAAAGTTAGCATTGTATAAAGCGATTTAATTGTTATTATTTCAGTAAAAAATCCGCCCCCGACGACAAAATCAAGCAGTGCTGCGCGGAAATTCGGGAGATTTTGGCCGGATTCGATAATTTGGCGCTGGCAAAAGTAAGCTAAAAGTGAAAAACTAATAAATTGAAATCTTAGAATGATAAACGCTACGAGGGAGAGTTCGCAAAAGCTATTGATGTGCTTTTCAACCTGGCCAATCATCCGGAGCAGCTTTTACGGACGTTGGCCGAGGAGACGTTGGATTCGGCGTTTAGGGTAGGTTTTTGAGCTTTATTTATTCTGAAATTCCCATTTTTCGGACGTTACGCTTTTACAAATACATATAAGATCATCGCTACGACAGTTTAGTTCTTTAAATGGAGCATTACGTCCAATCCAGAAGCGATTTTGCCATTTTTCGGTTTTAGAAGTCTAAAAAAATGACATTTTATGCGTTTCTACCTTTTTGGCAAGTCGTTAGTGCCTTGGATTTACTTAAATTAGACAAGTTATAAAACGACTTGATAAAAACCAATTGGGAGTTGAGAGGCATTACGCGATAGAATTCAAAAGTAAACAGAGTTGTAAGTTTTACTATTCTGCTAATTTAATTTGGGACAATCAAAAAAAAATAGGATCTTCTTTCAGGCCCAACTCCTCTGCTTTCAACACGCCCGCGTGCTCGTCAGACTCATCACGGAGGTGGCCAAAAATGGGCCTTCCAGAGCCTTGGTAGCAGCCTTCAATCGTCTATGCGCCTTAATCCAATTTAGCAAGGCTAATCGGTTGACGTAAGATAAACATTGAAAAGAAATCAAGTTAATTTAGCTCTTATGGGCTTCATATTGTCTCCGCCTTGACAGCGATGCTGAGGCGACCTGAAGAAGCCGTTCAGACCGCCCTCGACAAGGGCGTTCCTTTGATTTTTGCCGTTTTGGGACCACGCTTGAAGGAGCAGCACGTCGATAAGGCTTTTGTAAGTGTTAGGGACAAAATGGAAGCATTAAGAATGCTGTACTCTAAACTTTCGAGAAGCATGAAGGATATGAATAAAGATCATGAGACTTTTTTGTTCGAATTATCTCTGTAACTCATTTTGAAGCGACCCGATATACTTTTGTTAAAGTTAGGATCGATTATAGATGCCTAGAAGAAGCTTTTTACGTCCCTTTAATCCATTTTCTAGGAGCTCTACCGAGTTGCTGCCGAAAACCTCGACCTGCCCGGGGCGAAAGGAAGAGCTGCCGTCACCATCATTGCTCAAATTTGTGAATATTACCCAAGTGTGCTCAAGAAAGTAAGTTTCTAACATTCACTTTCTGTTTAACCGTCCTAAACTGCTGTCGAACCGTTGGAATTTTATTTTTGGACACCGCTAAAATTAGACACCTTTAGGTGGTCTCCCGGTGCCTCGTGAACATCCGAAAAGCAGACTTGGAGGAGTCCAAACAGCGAGTTATCGGCTTCCTAAACGTTATCAAAGCTGTATGGCCAATGGCAGTGAGGTTAGAGGAATCGTTGCCTGCCGATAATTTACAAGGGGTTAGTAAAACTCAACGAATTCTGAAAACGCAAATTTTAGATCATCGTCGGAGCGCTCCTTTGTTTGCACGTCGATTATAGCGATGTTGTGGAGGCCTCGTTGAAGGTGAGTATCGCTCTCTCTCTCTCTCTCTCTCTCTCTCTCTCTCTCTCTCTCTCTTTCTCTTTATGACTAAATCTTCCAGGCTCTCTCCGAAATCATGGCCCACCCAATAGCCGATATGAATTTCTACCCACCGATCCTTTCGAATAAATTCTCCTCTGAACAATCTGGACCCTCAACCGAAAGGAGCTTCAATAATGGAAGCCCGCCTGCAGGTGAATCGATGATTTTAATACCGGAAAATAATTAAATTAAAATATTAAATTTCTTAGGCTCTTGTTCATCCCTCATCACCTCTCCTCTTGGATCAACCCTTGATCTCAGCCTAGCGGACCCGAGCGATCCGCTTTGTGTCAATTTTAATGAGCCTCTTGAGCTGCCCGACCATGGTTCGGATGGCACGTTGAGTGACGATGGAACGGAGGTATTGTAGCGTACTGAGGCGATATCAAACTTTATTTGTTTTGAGGATCACGAGGGTTACTGTATTCCTAAAACTTTCCCTAAATTTCAGAACCTCAGTGCTGCTATTTTATAGCGTTTGAGCTCCAAACATTAATTTTGATAAAAATAGCATAAAGTCCCGTGCTCTTCCGAACATCCGTTTCTTAGCAAGGCGAAATCATCGATCCGCTACTCCACGCTGACCTGTATGAGGAGCAAAAGCAGGAAGAAGAGGAGGCCAAGAAGCAAGAGTTGCTCTCACAGCAAAGTACCCCTACTAGGAAGATGACCGAGATCCCGGGAAGGCTGCCGGAGGGGTTCTGTAAGTTATTACAACACTAAAAAGAATAGGGGAAATCGCGCCTTTCTGCTCATGATTTAAAGGGAGAGTGCCAGCAAGCCTCCGGTCAGGTGGACCCCGAAGTCTGTCACACTGCCTTTAAAACTTTCATCATTACTTCCTCTAGGTCCATCGACATCCAACTGCTACACATATTCTGCTCTGCTCCTCGGAAGACAATTCCTGTTATCCGGCATCAAAGGCCTCAAAAACGACCGCGAGGTACTTACTGCTCCATCCCTTTCCTATATACACCTCTCTCTAGATTCGAATCTCCCACAAAATCCTGGCCCTGAACTGCTTGGGGACGATCGCCAGAAACGCGCCGAGCATTGGGAGGGCACAAATTCAATGGGGTGGGTCGGCAAAAATGGCTTTTACCGAAAATTTGAAGGTGATGGGCCTCAAGCGCTGTCGGAAGTGGCCAGATTTGTACTCCATGATGACGATGCGCTTGTGCTTCGGCTTTGGAGTTTATCGCGGCTTGCGAGCAGAGACTGTTGAAGCAGGCTGAGCCGTTGACTGGTAAGTTGGAGTCGCTCGTGCTCATTCACTTTCCCTCTCTTTATACTGTTCTCTCTCATTCTCACTTTCTCTCATTCTCTCTCTCTTTCTCTCTCTTTATCTCAGTTTCTCTCTCCTTCTCATTTTTCTCTTGCTCCATCGCCAAGTCTAGTTATTTCTTTCAGAAATGTTCCCCTACTGTATAAAACGCTTGGAACGGGTATTCCATCAAAAGAGAAAGAGGGCTCTACTCCAAACTACATTAGGGGAAACGGTAAATCGTCAAGAACTTTTAGTCACTTTTTGGCATTTCAGGGCCTCCTCTGTCATTACGGGTTATTTCCTAACATTTGCCGGGTTGCGATCGAATCGATAAGTGGATCCTACGGGTTGTTGAAGGTATATTTTGTCCTCTTAAGCCGAACTTCGACTTTTTAGGCCACTTCCGCCGCCTGGTTCTCCGCCATTGAGTGGTCAAAGTTGACCCCAGAACTCAGAAGTCAGTGGCAACGGCCATGTCTTGAAGCTTTCCTGAAAATTCTGTTTTCTGGCGATGCTGTGGTTGAAAAGGAGGCCGCCGAATTCTTGCCATGGTAATCATGATTCTCGAGATAAGATATGTCTCTTAAGGCTTGTGAAAAATGTCGAATTGGGCGCTCAAAGCAACGCTTTCCACCACGCGTTGCCAGAGAATTATATTGGTGCCGGTTTTCCGGAGATTCCTGTGGTAAGGTTTTGATAATTTATCTCTCTTTATCTCTCGCTCTCTCTCCTCCTCTTTTTATCTCTTGCTCTCTCTTTTTTAAAAACTTATTTAGGTACTTGGCCTCCCCTCGACTTACTCTTTCTGCGACAAACCGGTCGATTTCACCTACGAAGAAAATCTGGAGTTGATTCTAGCTAAGATTTTTCAATTTGCAAGTGAGGACAGTGTTCAATCTGCTGTAAGTGTCCTTTAATGGCTTTAAAATCTCACATTTTTAGTCCGGTCTCGTGTTCGGACTGGCCAGCTCGTCGAAGCGTTTCCGCCCTCGATTTATCGCGAATGTTGGCAGAGCGCTTTTCGGGTAAGTTGATAGATACTTCCTTGCTATCGTAGAACACGGTAAACATTGAAATCTTTCATATTACGGACTAATAAATACTTCATTGAACCCGTTCAGACCCAATCCGGCATCGCTGGCCTGCTGTCGTTAATGGTTGAGCTGGCTGAGCTGAACTCGAGCAGTCCGACGATGATGGTGAAAGCACTCCAAGTGATTTCTGGCTATTTTCAGGTGAGCAAGAGAAACCGATTGAGCTCGATCCAGGCCAAGCGGAAGCCGAAGCCCGAGTTTGAATTGAAAACCGACAAATCGTCTTTTTAGGCCAGATGGAGGGTCAACTAATGCGAGTCGTGCATGAGCAAATGGTACCTGACCGAAAGCTATTACCGAAACAGCTCGATGTTCTACTGACTGAGCGATTGGTGCTCCTACCGTTACGGTAAATACTTCGACAGTTTTTCGTTGAATCCAAGTTTTTGTTAGGATCCTGAATGCGTACTACGCTCTGCTGACCGAACATCGAAGCCTGATGAGCCAGTCGTCGAGCGGGATCCTCTCTAGACCAAACATCGCCAGCATGAATAATAAGAACATGAAGACGGCGAGTAGCGCTAGGTAAGAAAGGAGACGTTCGAGGGAATGACAAGACAGGGGGATGGCATTCTTGCCCAAAGACTCTGTCCTAATTTAACGATGCCGAATTAGCAAAAGCATACATTATATTTTACTTTAAAGTGATCGTGACAGCAAAAACAGGCCTATTTTTTAGAATTGCGGATATTTCTCGTCTCCTCGGCACCAGCATCCACCCGACCAAGCCAAGCAGCTTTCTAGAATGCCCATCATTAAAATCTATGTTTCCGCAGATTCGAGGAGCTTTTTCTAACTATTTGGTAAGTCGTAAGCCACTTATGATATCGATATTACTCAAAATTAGCTTACTAAAAACTGCAGTTGATCTTAGCTTCATATGGAATGGTTCGCGGTTAGAAATGTTCTTCTTTTAGGAAAAATCGGAGCCGAGCAAGACCGTCGTCTAACCAAACTACTGACCACTGCCCTGCACTGCTTGAGCGTGTTGTTGGAGATGGTTACCTACCAAGCCATACGCCCGCAACTGGAAGAGATTCTATTGTATCTGAAGGTATCGGAAGATTACAAAATGAACTGGCCTTTTAGGTCATCTTTGAAATTGAGCCGGCTGGTTGTACTCGTTTGCTTCACCAACTCTTCAAATTGGTGTTTGGGAAAAATGCGGCAAATATCAACTTGGAGACTTTGCATCAGTTGAACTTGAAACATCCTCTACCGCCGTCAGGTACGCATGAGAGAGAGAAAGAGAAAGAGAAGGAGAGGGAGAGAGAAAAAGAGTGAGAGAGAGAGGGCGAGAGAATCAGAAGCCAACTATCCCGTTTCAGACAAACTCGACATGTACCTCGTCCGTTCCATCAACGAGTTCACCTTGTTTGCCGCTTTTCTCAACCGCTTTGAGTTTTTGGACGTCTACGTCAGAAGGTAGAAGGCGATGACTTCTAGGAGTTCAACGGGTTTTAGACACGTCGGCTGGCTGAGGGCGGATCTGCTCTCAAAGGTGCACGTTCCGGAAAACTCGGAAATCTCCAGCTCGCTGCTCCTTTTGAGGGTTTCATCAACAAGTTGATCGCACTGTACCCCAACTTCAACTCGCTGCCGACGAAGTGTGCGGTGAGTTGAGAGAGAGCGAGAAAGAGAGAGAGAGAGAGAGAGAGAGAGAGAGATAATCAATACACTCTTTTCAGATCCTGAACGTCATGTGCGAGCTTCCTCGTGACGGGGTACAGTACGCCCTGGCCGATCCGAAGGGCAAACTTTTTGACGTGGTTCAGACCCAGATCGAAGACATGTTCTCCACGCACACAAACATGATTCAAGAGGTATTTTATGCAAAATCGGAGGTATCATACCTTCTTTAGACGTTTCTTTACCTTACCGTACTCGCCAGAACGGGATACATCGAATGGAATCGGGTAGAGGATATCGTGGAACAGGTTCTGGACCGGACGCCAAGACAAGCGGCTAGAAATGGTGGGTGGGCTTGAGGCTTAGGCTTAGGCTCAGACCAGGGCCGTACCTGGGCCGAAATTTCGGGGGGGGCAGGACCGAAAAAAATTTTTGACGACCCCCTCCCCCCCGGTCGACGCTTCTGTAAGATGACGGAGAAACGGTGTAAAAACTCTAAAAACAGCGACGCAGGCGAAATTTTTGCAAAATTGGTTAAGAAACACCCTGGGATTGAGCCAAATCGCGGCAAAAAATACACTTTTGAACCGAAATTGCGATTCAATGAATGAAAAAATGAGCGCCGCAGGCAAAAATTTGTCAAAAATGGTGTTTCTAACACTAAAAACCGACTTTCGAACAGCTATAAAAAGCGCCGCAGGCAGAAAAATTTTCCGGAAAAGGATCATAAGGGTCCCCCTTATGAACTTTTCGGCCTTCGGGCGATTGCGGGGCGGGGGGGGGCGGCTCGCCTGGGGCGGCCTGAGAGCGCCCCAGGCAGCAAACTTAGCGAAAATTGCGATAAATTTACTGAAAAACAGCGCCGCAGGCTGAAATTTTTGAAAAACGGTGTCTATAGGATAAAAAAATGGTGTTAAAGAGCGAGGAAAAAGACGCCGCAGGCAAAATTTTTCTGAAAAAAACTGTCTATATTATAAAAATAAATAGCGTTTAAAAGGCCGTTTGCGAGCCACCCGAACAAGGCTTGGCACAGTTTTTTTCGAAATTTTTTGCGAAAAAATCTAAAGGGCCTTATGCGCTTTCCGGACTCGGTCGATTTTGGGTGGAGGTCTATTTCTCCTCACTCTTTATTCTTGTCGAGGATGCCGTGATCAGGCAAGCCCCCTGCCGCGCTAAGATACCGTTAGTAACCGGAATAAAGTGCTTTAGTAATACGGGTTTTCTGCTTTACCTCGCCCTGTATTCTCCCTACTCTGGGCTTTCTATCGCTATATAGATCATCCCGATCCGTTACTTCTCCATGGAGTTTGGGCCTTTCCTCCAAATATTAGCCCATTAATGGTGCCAAAATAATCTCCTAACAAGCCCAACCTCATCTGCCACCCTAACATTAGTGCCAAAAAAATGCGGGAAAATTCAAACTTCTAGATTACCTGCCCCCCTCCATGGGGGCAGCAAAAATGGCGAAAAAAAAACATAAGGGTACTACCTTATGTACTTTTCGCCCCCCCGAGGATTTCGGGGGGGCAGGCTGCCCCCCTGCCCCCCCCCCTCGTACGGGCCTGGCTCAGACTCAGGCTCAGGCTTAGGCTTCAGCTTAAGCTTAAGCTTATGATTTTAGCCCTCTCCGCCCTCGACGTGCTCGTCTGCGAGAACCTGATAGCTCAGAAGAAAGCTGGAACTCACTTGTGGAGAATCTGGCTCCAGCGAGCTGCTCAATTCATGGAATGGGACCCTGAAGGCTCCTCCGTCGTTTGGACGATATTTTTGCATGGCGCGAGGAGGGATGAGCAAAGGTCCGTCCTTATACATATCCAGACCGAGGCTTGGCTTTCGAATTAAGCTTAGCCTCAGGGTCAGGGCCAGGCTTATGCTTAGGCTCGGTGGATTTTCAGAATCTCTAAATTTCAGAATCTCTAAATTTCAGAATCTCTAAATTTCAGAATCTCTAAATTTCAGATTCTCTAAATTTCAGAATCTCTAAAAATCAGAATCTCTAAATGTCAGAATCTCTAAATGTCGGAATCTCTAAATTTCGGAATCTCTAAATTTCTTTGTACAGGAGCCCATACAGAGTTTGGCGCAAATTGAAACTGTAATGCGATTTTACCCAAAGACGCCTCTGAAAAGTTTTTCTGGAGTAGTTTTTTTTGCGCTAATCACGAAAAACGTAGAAGCATTTCCATAGCGCCATTTTTCCGTGCTTGGTTACAACTGTTGTCTTCAAAGCCCAAAACTTGGTTTTGTTATAAGCAATTCATTTTGAATTTTTGTGATTCGTGGTTACGTTTTTCGTGATCAGGGCAAAAAACTACCCCAAAAAAAGTTTTCACAGGCGACGTTGAGTAAAAGCGCCATACAGTTTCAATTTGCGCCAAAAACTCTATTTTTATTTATAGAGATTCCGATTTTTAGAGATTCTGATTTTTAGAGATTCTGATTTTAGAGATTCTGAAATTTAGAGATTCTGAAATTTAGAGATTCTGAAATTTAGAGATTTCTGATATTACAGCTTACTTTAGATGGAAAGAGTGGTCTATCGAAGCCTGGAGCATCTACCAAGAATGGCTTACAGCTTCAAGCTCCAAATTAAGCTCTTCGACTTGTCATGCTCAGATTGTGTTTCTCAGCTCGTTGGCGTCACAGACGTTCTCCCCGATTGATTCCTTTTTTAATTTGCTGAAGAATTGTCTTTTCGAAAAGGTTTGTTTGAGAGAGAAAGGTAGAGAGAGATAGGGAGATAGAGAGAGAGAGAGAGAGAGAGAACGAGAGCGAGCCCAGACCGCAAAATTTTCGACTTTCAGAGCCCATCTCACATCAAACTCTCCAAAATCCTACCCTATTTTTCCTGATGGTTTCCTCAATGACGGAAGAGCAAATCCAGACCAGAATCGATCAGCTGGCCGAGAAACCGGTCGAGCTATTAGTGCGGTAAGGCAATTTTGTCATGTAAAATTCAATTTTCAGCGGAATTTTCGACGTCATCTGGAAGGCCACCACCGAGGCCAAGGAGCACGACGTCGAGCTGGAGGAGCTGATCATCTTTATGCTCCAATCGATGTCGTATTGCTTGAGGAGTGGTGAGTTTCAAGAGGGCGACAAATTCAGAAAAATAATTTAAGAAAAACTGCCAAAATTCTCGTCTTGCCTGCGTTTCCATACCACCACGGAACCGTCAATGTGCTGTTACGGCTTCATCGAATTTCGCCAAAGATTTTGGTGCACTGGTTGTCGTTCTTCTCGCTGACGCCGTCTGCTTTGCCCGTGTTTTTGGAGATATTGAGCAACCCGAAGTTTAAGGGGTAAGTAGATCTGGCTTCTATCTCTCTCTCTCTCTCTCTCTCTCTCTCTCTCTCTCTCTCTCTCTATCTTTCCCTCTCTCTCTGCCTCTAACTCCCTATCTCTCTCTTTATCGTTATCTTTTAGTCACACGTTCAACATCACCATCCTCCTCCTCGTCGACCTCATCCAAACCGAGAGCCTCTCGAACTCCCATCTGGCCAAGCTTTTCGACCCTGCTGCAGCTGTCAATCTACCACTTCTCCTAGTTACAATTGCTGAGCGCAAAATGGTGGACATCTTCGTCAGGTATTATCCGTCGGAGAAAGCCCAAATTCCGTTTCAGTGCTCTAAACGACGAGTCATTCGAGCTGTTCCTATCTACAGTGGCTGTCGGGGCGAAGGAGAGCTTGAATATTAAGGTACGATTTTCAAAAAAAGCTTAGGGATATCTAGCGTTAATTAATTGGGAAAAAGATAAAATCTCTCTCATTCTAACCCCTTTAAGGCCTAGCTTTTAGGCCGCCCCTCGATACGATAGCGCTTGCAAAGAAGTTTATCGAACACTTCAAAAGAAAACCCTGCGAAGAAAAGCTCCTTGAAATGACGGAAAAGCTCAAGCCGTACTGCCCTGTGCTGGAACAGAAGCTTACGGAGACACTGGGACTGGAGCAGCCGCACGAATTCGACGGGATCTCCGGCTTTGCGATCTCTCGGAACCTAGAATTCCTGACCCATGCCCTCAAAAACTATCAAAACTGCCCGATTGATGCTGTGTTGAAGGGAATTCTACAAGTTCCTACGCAGGAGCTGTACGAGCTGTTTGAGGCGCTGGTGAGGACTTTGAAAGAAACCACAAGGAAAAATGTTGGCTACGAATTACAAATCTGGGAAAAGTGCTTACTACACATCTTTAGGATAAGTCGCAGCGGAAGCACTTCTTTACCGTAGCTATACAGGCGGCTGAGGAATGTGCAATTGGGAGGGCAGGTTGGTACGAGCGAGGACAGAGAGAGAGAGAGAGAAAGCGAGAGAGAGAGGGAGAGAGAGAAAGCGAGAGAGAGATCAGAAAAGTAATTTTAGCCGAACCAGAAGACCAGCGAAAATGCCTAGCGAACGCCCAGGAGCTGATCGACACCCTTGAAGACTTTATTGCTCAGGATCCGGAGATCGCGCTCCAGTTTTACGCAAAAATGCAGCCAGTGGTAAGCTAGCTTCTGGATTTCTTCGAGCCTAGGCTTACTAACAGTAGTAGTAGTTAGGCTTAGGCTTAGTCCTAGGCGTAGGCTTAGGCTTAGGCTTTGGCTTACGATCAAGGCAATGTTTCAGCTTCTCACCACAAGCCTGAACGTCTCCGACCTCACTGAAGGCACAGTTCATGATCTACTCAAATGGATTTGGGCAAATATGGTATACAAAACCTAATTTTTTCGATGCTAAAGCAATTTTAGCCCACCGGCCCTATCGAGCTGCTCGGCGAATTCTTGGCGGGTCTCAAATTCCTCTTCACCACGCCTTCCGCCAGCGAAATTTTCGCCAGCAACCTCTTGCTCATCTATCAATGCTTAGAGAGTTGTTGTTCAGCATCGTCGGGTTTTTGGATCAGGTTTAATTGTTCTAACTTGGAACAAAGGGTTCTTAAGGTATCTTACGAGCCCTACCACCAAGAAGAAGTATCGGGTATCGACATAACAGGTGTCTCTGTGGATTCCGATAATTACCGTATGACTAATTCTACGTAGAAACGTGTAGTCCATTTTAGGTTACACCTCTGAACTCTTTGATATTGTGCAGCATATTTCGAGGCTCTATCGTACCCAGAAAATCCCCAGTCGAAAGCCCGGGATGAAGAAATTGGAAGAGGTGGTTAGAGGTAATTTTTTTGAAATGATTCGCTATAGAAAATATCTTTAACTCGACTTCCTATAACTATGTTTAGTAATGTTTCGACATCCTCTGCTCCATTCGATGGCGATGGTGCCGGAAACGGCGATGAAGTAAGCGAGAACTGCTTGGTTTATTAGCTCTCTCTCTCGCTCTCCCTCTCGCTTCTCTCTCTCTCTCTCTCACTCTCTCTCTTCCTCCCTCTATAGCAACTTTCAGGATGGAATGGCGGCCCCGAATGGAAATCGAGGCGAAAACTCCTTCTCGATTCCCCTGGTCAACATCCATCTGCTCAGCAACTATGATGTGCTGACTGATTTCGCCTGGAGGGTAGGTCCCAACCCCAATGCATCCCTTAAGGAAATGGTGGCATCAACAAGCGTCTATTAATATCTCCACCCGCCAAAATCATTTTTCCAGGTCAACTGGCTCGGCTGGACGACACGACAGCAGTTTGAGGACTCTTGGATGAGTTTGTTTGGAGTACTATCGAGTACTCCAACGGGTTCTGAATTGACACAGGAGAATGCTACTGTGAGTTTCAGGCTCGGGCTTAGGTTTAGGCATGTGCTTGGCTTGGGCTTACAGGCTTAAAGGCTCGAGCTTACACAGGCGTAGGCTTAGGTTAGGCTTACAACGAGGTTTACTTTCCTTACTTTGTTAAGATTAGGTTCGCGCTTGCCTTTTGCTTGGGCACTTAATTTCTCTCGTTTTTCAGCAATACACCGAGCAAATTCTCTCCTCGGCCAAATCGGTCGAAGCCTTGACTGAACTGCTACTATCTTCATTGCTATATCCCGAGCCCGGAAACTCGATCTGCAGTCACTTTGTTGTGAAGCACCGGGAAAGGACGGAGACCTATCGTAGCAAGTGAGTATTTGTCAGTTTTCCGGGAACCAGAATTTGTTTAGGTCTATCCGGCAGCTAACTTCAATCAAAGCGAGGCTTCTTGGGGACAAGGACCCATCTACTGTTTTCCAGCGGAATATCGAGAGATTGGTGAGTGTGAGAGAGAGACAGAGAAGGAAAGAGAGATTGCAAGAGAAAGAGAAATAGAGATCGTGAGAGTGAGAACGACGAGAAATAATTTTTCCTTTAGATCCCGGAAGTCGGATGGAAGTATGGACCAAGTCAACTATCGGCTCTTTCCCTATGGTCCTTAACTGGAGTCCTAAATGATGAAAAACGCCCACCGGCCAAAATAACAGCCCGGTAAGCTTCAAACTAAAAAATAATACTATGGCGTTTTAGAGATTAAAAGCTTCGGTGTCGGAATATCTACTTCGAATGAACTGCGAGCTCGACACTGCTTCATCGGTTCGAGCACTATTTGACAACTATGCTCATTGGTTGAGCCGAGGATTAGAATACCTGTCGTTGCCGCTACTTTCTGCGACTGTACGATCGGTATGTGTTTTTCTCTCGCTCATCTCTTTCTTTTGCTCTATTGTCTATACCCTGCACTAGATGGCACTCTCTCCGACCTCTTCGACGACTCGACGTCCTACCTCCTGCTATACGAGCAGATGAGGAACATCTACAATAGTCGAATCCTGCAACACCACCCCGACTTTGGCTACGTCATCTACTCGATTCTGAAGGCAGTGACGGTGCTCGGAGTCGTAAGTTAACTGGACTATTCTATTCAAAATTTCTTAGGAACCTCTCGAATCGAAGCTGAGCGAGCTCGACTTTGGGAAGCACTTACTAGGCTTTGTGGAGATGGGATTGACATCGCATTATGCGGTAGTACGGTAAGTTAGGCAAAGCTTAGGCTTCGGATTAGATTCAGGCTTAGGCTTCGGCTCAGCGATCTTGTCCGCCTTGAAACCAACAAGTAAACACGAGTTTTTAGGGAACACACCCTCCACGGCGTCCTGTACTTCTTGCAGTCGATGGCAGGCGAGTCGATGCGTCCGATCATTCAGTACGTATCGACGTTTTTGATCGACGAAATCACGAAGCAACTCGCGATCACTGATCCAGTGTTGATAAATAGGTATGATTTTTTTTCTCCGTGATTCCCTGTCGCTCTCTCCCTCCCTCTATCTCTCTCGCCAAAACTCCTCATTTTAAGCTCCCCTCTTCCATCAACTATTCAACCGTCATCTGGGCAACGGCCTTCAGAATCATGGAAGAACCGGTCCAAGGGAACTTCAAGCAATCCTTAAATCAGGTTTGACATTAATATTTACTTAACTTCCGTCAATTCAGAAGCTCTGCGAAGCACTCTTGGTCGCAAATCTACCGCACTGGACCCTCGAGCTAATCACTGCCGGAATCGAGACCCTCATCTTTCATTCAACCGCCTTTTCGGAACAGTTTGCAGCTGTGGCTAGAGGTAATTAGTACCTTCAATTCCGAAAGATTTTCCTATTTTAGAAAGCTTCCAAGATTACCACTTCCACACGGGAAAGTTTCCATATGCCCTGCGGATCTTTGTGGATTGTATTTTCCGAGGTAACCGAGTCGGGATAAGCCCTATTCCTTGCAATTTTAGAGGAAGCCGATCCGTCTCGAAACAGCGCCCACAAATTCCAGCCGCTGCTGCAAACTGCTATCGGATTGTAAGTGATAGAGTATGCGAGAGAGCGAGGGAGAGAGAGCTAGCGAGAGAAAAAGGAAGTACATAATCTTCTAACACCACGCGACGCAGCCGCTGTACCAAAAGTTACCAAAAAATTACCAACAAAAAAGCAGCAGTTACCAGTTGACACCTTCTCTTTCAGAATACATCGTTGCTACCCTGCCGACGCCTTGCTTCTTGCCAAGGTCTTCCCACCCATCCTCCGACGACTTTATAAAGATCACAAAGTGGGCTTTTCATCGTATAAGGAGTGCAAACCGACTCATTTCAGGCCCTTGAAATCATCCTTGACATGCTGTTCCCCGACCAGAAAATTCACCTCCCCGAGAATGCGCATGCCGTCTTTGTTATCATTTTGAGGTAAAGCCAAGTCAAAAATTCATCCGGTTTTTTAGTTCTTCGAGTCGCTCCGTGAAAATCAACGTCTGGCTTCTTGCCTTCAACTTTCATCGATCATCGTGAAGCGCTTAAGCGAGATCTTGATCGTGGAATCTGAAAAAACAGCCGCTACGTCCATCCTCTTGACGGCAGCGCATGGAGATTCGGAAGTGGCTTCTCGGTACGTCGGGGGTTAAGACGCAGCGTGGGCCTAGGCTCAGGCTTCGGCTTCGGCTTAGGCAAACCGAAACCAAACAAAGCAACCTATTTCTAGGTTTCCACTTACTTCTCGAGATGTACGAACGGGAGCCGATGGACTGGTCGTTTTACCATGATTGGATTTTGCAGAAAACTGCTGAAATGGTAAGAGAGTCGAAGTCAAAGCAAGGGAAGGAGAGAGAGAATTAGCGAAAAAAAAGCTCATGCTCAAAACTTTAGCATATGTTATGATCACTAACAGCACCGCCTAAATAAAAGGTATATCACACCCACACACCGCTTGTTCAGCTAGTGTCCGAGGGGATCGCCCTCTGCGTCCCGTTGCCGGAGCCTGTGGATCTCGCTTTCCTCGCCTCGTGTTTTCCCTGTGATTAGAGCCTCTGTGTTGCCATAATTTTAGTTTGTTTGTTTGTTTAAGGGGACTGTGATAAGGCCTAAGCCTAAGCTAGACTAAGCTTAAGCCTGAGCCCAAGTTTAGCCGAAGGCAAAAAAGGGTCCCGCCCCTTCAAACCACCGTAAGCCATCTCGTGCCATTTTACCTCCTCCTCCTGTATCTAGCAACCCCTCTGTTACCCTTTACGCCAAATATTCAGATCTGTGATATTACTGCCTTGCGCTGCTCTTCCCAGTTTTTCTTCTCATTTTTTACTTCAAAGATTCGCAGATTTGCTTCTCACGTGCTTTTTTCCTCAAATTGGCTGTGCTGTCTTGTTGGGTACTTTTTTATACTTTGTCAGTTTGGAGCTTCAATTTTATAATAAGATAAATTATTTCTTTCTACTTAACTCGTTCCGCATCACGAAAAATAGCAAATTGAGTGATGGCTTCAAAACAAAGTGCGCCAGCGAGAGAGAGAGTGAGAGAAAGAGAGAAAGAGAGGGAGAGAGAAAGCAGGAGGGAGAAGAGAGATACAGAGCTTTCGAACCACTTCCAAAACCACACCCCAAAAACGATGTACAGAACTGTTAGCCAAGGGAACGGCGATAAAAAGAGCAGATTTGGCTGAAAAGAGTAGGATATCTTCCTTTTCGGGTCGAAAAGATGATGCGGGCGTTCCGCAAAAGTGTTATGGCAGTTCCGGGCTGTGCGAATTGATCCAGGCCCAGATCTCCACCCGATACTCAGGGATATGTGTAAATGCTGTTAGCAATCGTCTTTCTTTTTTCTCTGTTAGCATATTGTCGAGGAGTCGATGAAAGGTGGGGCCTTAATTTTTCTACGCATTGATTTAAAGCATAAAATATTTAGCAAATTTTTTTCAGACCCGACGCTCATGTAGCCCAGAAGCATGGTGCCTACCCGACGGCACCAACCTATCCTAAAGCTCCCGAAGCTTACCCAACAGCCCCTCAAGTTACATCCTATTCCTATTGGCCACAATATTATCTGCCATTACAATTATACCAATTCTACCTACCTGTCCAACTGATCTACCCGATTATTCCGCTTTTCTATGTGCAACCGTATCAGCAACAGTATGTTTATCCAACTCCACCTCCAAGCTATGTCAACCCGCCACCACAAAAGTAAGTTTTAAGGAGGATGGTGACAGTATTAACAAAAACTAACCTAAATATTATGTTCTATGATTTCAGCACGTTGCCTCCACCCCCAACGACTACGGCCAAAGGTATCAAATAGGTTGCTTTAGGTACCGAACCGTTTCAGGTGGCCAAGAAGAAATGAGTATCGTCGAAATTACGGTAACTGATGAGGCGGTGATCGAAAATGAGTACTCGTCCACCTCGACGATGTTTATGAGGTTGGCCTTAAATCAAAGAAATACCGACACTACCACTGCTAGTTAGCCTCGACCCCGAATATTCTGATTTTCTAGACCCTTCTCCCCGGCGCCGGCCCCGATGATGCCGATGCCCCCAGGATTTGCGGCTGATATGTAAGGTCTTTGAGTTGATACTTCAATCTGGGTGCAGGGAGGTCATCACGCCAGCCGAGACGACAATGAGTACCACGACGACGACGACGTCTACCTCCACCACTTCACTTGTTACTACGGCAACGACGACTACTCCGCCAAGCACAACTACGAGGCCTAAGACGACCGCGTGAGTCAAAGTAATTTTGTTTCTGTGGGATACCTAACGGATAGTATTCGCTAATTAGACTTTTTGAGTCATTTGTTTGCTTTTTGGCCAAGAATCTTGTTTATATTTTGCTTTAGAGCTGTACGATTAGAAGTAGCCTATCTGATTGATAAATTTTTTTGATTCGATTGATATATATTGTCGAAAACTGGCAATTTCTAGGTTGCAGTTTACAAGTCCGTGAAATGCGCCGTTTTCGCCAAGTCCCATACAAATTGCATTTCGTGCCACCTTATCCTTTCAATCCTGACCCGAGACAATTTACTGCTAGGTGTCAACGGTTGCCAGCCCCATTCTGTAGTCTAGAAAAAAATTCCATTACCAAATAAATTTTCAACCTTATTTTTCAGGGCCCGTGCCCTTGATGCAACCACCAACGGGGCTGGCAACCAATTGACGAATTTTGGTGGACTCGACAAGAACACCAACACATTCCACACGAGCTCGAGCGCACTTAACGACCCGATCCTCAATAAGAATCGCAATTCTCAATTCAGAAACCTCATCCCAAACCTCAATAACAATGTCCCTGATTTTAATAACAATTTCCATACCAACTCAATGAGCCATCCTTCGAAAACGGTTAGCACGCAAACATTCGCGCGAAACGGTCAGCATCAAAAAAGTTTGACGACGTTTTCGGGTGGCGGTGGAACGTTCCAAACTAATCCTGGTAACGCTGATGCGCTGGCTGACTTTATCGCTAATCTCCGACACCCGACCCCAAGTTATTTGAGAGTACTGTAGAACGTAGGGTTGTTCAGAAAACATTACCGATTGTAAGGATTGAAGGTCGATGACCTTTGAGGTTTGAATAAAATGTTTTCATATATTAAATAGAGTACAAATTCGCTAAAAAACAATGGCTATAGTAAAATAAGAAAATCAACAGGAACTATGGTTGCGCGTACAAATATCCTACTATACAGGGTGTCCCAATAAAAAAGGTCACGCTGGCATTTTGCTATTTCAAATCCGACCGACTTGAAATTTTGCACATAAGTGCGGAAGGGAATTCAAAATGTTCACAGAAACTTTCAGCCCGATCGGTACAGTAGTTTTCGAGTTATTGTAAAAAATACTGTTTTTCCCACACTTTAGCGTCATTTTTTCGGCTATCTTTTTGGACTTTGCATCAATTAACATAAATTTCCGGCTCTAAATCGCTTATTCTTCTTAACATTGGCGTCGTTAGCCCTTGTTAAAAAATACTTAAATAGCCTATTTTCGACCCGAATTTCGCGAAATAAAAAATTCCTAGGATAAAAAGGGTCGGCGCTTCATTTTCTCCATACATTCCAGGGCTCAATTCCGGCGGAATCCAGGTTAAAAACGTAAAATAAAGTTTATTTTTGCTATAACTCGAAAACTACTGTACCGATCGGGCTGAAAGTTTCTGTGAACATTTTGAATTCTCTTCCGCACCTCTGTGCAAAATTTCAGGTCGATCAGTTTGAAATAACAAAATGCCGCGTGACCTCTTTTATTGGGACACCCTGTATATAAAAAAATAGTGTCTGTGTGTTTGTCTGTGTGTGCCACTTTGCATCCACTTCCGGATGGCTGTCCGGAGGATATCTCGATGGGGATGAATTTTAAGGTATGTATGATACGTCATTAGATGCGTAATGGCCTGGAGATGACTGCACGCATATCAGATTTAACAAAATCACCTATTTTCGACATTAAATTTGAGGTTTTGTAAAAACATTTTTGTTAGGAACAATTAGCGTAGACCGGAAGTGGGGATTCGACTATATAAAGGGAGTTTAAAAGGTAGTTTTCATTTTTGTCATCTGAATTCAGGAAAATTATGTAAAGTGAAGGATAAAACGGGGTCAGACAGGGCCAGGGTTGAAAAGCCGCAGGAAGCACTTTTCCAGCCCCAGTTGAATAATTAACGAAATTAGAAAATTGAATTTTTTTGTAGGTCTACCACTACAAGCGCGACAACTACGACTACAGCGAGCACAACTAGCACTCCAACCACTGCGACAACTAATACTACAACTACTACCTCCGCTACTGCCTATTACAACCAGACCGCTACCAGCACTACTACCTCAACTACAACGACGGCAACGACAACTGCTACAACGCCTACTACCACTACGACCAGCCCCACGACGACGACAACTACCAGCACCACAACCACGACAAGTTCGACTACTACGACGACAACGACGACATCGACTACTACGACGACCACTACCACAACGGCTTCAACGACGACGACGACAGCAACTACGACAACAACAGCGACAACGACAGCGGCAACGACAACAATGACG